TTTGTTTGTTGTGTTTTTTTTTTTGTTTTTGTTTTTTTTTTAGTTTTTGGTTGGGTGTTGGGGTTTTTTGGATGGGTGTTGGGGTTTTTTGTTTTTTTGTAGATCAGTGATGTCAACCAGTACAGTATTGGTTTTCATTTTCCTGGCACAAACTTTAGTTTGGTTTTCTTGGAAGAAAACTCTTACTACTGATGCTAGTCTGGTTCGATTTGCCAGCGGTGAGCTCTGAGGTAGTTTCCACTATGATGTTCCATGTGACATTTATTAAATTCCTTATCTGACTCTTAACAACCAGTTACACTGGTCCTCTGCCTCAGACTTGTAGAGTACCTGTTCTCGCTGTCTGTGGATTGAGATGACTTCCTAAGTAGAGTTCATGCATAGCAATTGCCAACAACTTGGTGATTGTGGGGCATTGGTTCCTGTGTCTGTCATTTCAACTAAAAAAATCTGAAGAGAATATCAAACAGAAGAAAGCATGCATAGGGAAGTAAACAGTAAATCTGTCATTACTTGGCCTTTCTTCGATAAGCATTCCATTCAGTGTGTACAATATAAGCATTGCTGGCTTGAAGGGATTTTTGGTGTAACAAGTTAGCTTTCTGATCATAAACAAATAAGGAATGTTTATCACTGTACCTTGACAATGGGCAGACAGGCTTTCACTGACATCTTCCTTTAGTGGCACCTCCTCCCCAGCCATGGAATTGGAAGCAGTAAACTGAGGCAGGGAGCAGACATCTGAAAGCTAAAAAGCAATTACTGGAGGGTCTGAAGTGAACTGAACTTTAATCACGGATCCAATTAGACTGGAAAAGATCTTTTGGATTGAGTCCAAGCTGTGACAGAACATCACCATGTGAACCAGACCATGTCCTTAAACACCTCCAGGGAGAGTGACTCCACCAGCTCCCTGGGCAGCTCATTCCAATGTCTAATCACCCTTTTCTTTCTGTGAAGAAGTTCCTCCTAATGCCCAACCTAAATCTGCCCTGGCACAGCTTAAGACTATGATTCTGTGTCCTGCCCAGCACCCCTTAAACAGTTGAACTCTTCAGCTCAGTTTTTCTTTCATGAGTAAATCCAGATGTAGTAGCGTACTTTCAGATTTCAGCAAAATGGAGCAGACGGTTGTATTTTGAAGTATGTTCTAAGTTTCACTGGAACTTGAGGTGTTATGTTTGTAGTAGGTGGAGGGGAAAACAGGAAGTTGAATTCAGAAATGGGAGAGGATGTACAACTTTGCATTCTGTAATCCATGTTGCCTGAATAGCAGAGCACATGAGGGTGAGATTTCCTTTGCACCACTGATGTGTTTCCAATGCTTTTCCAGTCTAGAGCATGGCAAGACAGAGCACAAGAGCTTGAGAACAGCTTGACAAAGGAACAGGAAAATGCCCGCAAACTGCTGATTGAGAAAGAGAAGGAAATTGCTGAGATCAGAAATGTCATGCAGGAACAACTGTGTGACTACCAACAACTTCTGGATGTTAAACTGGCACTTGACATGGAAATCAGTGCATACCGGAAATTGCTGGAGGGTGAAGAGGAGAGGTACTAAAGAATGTAGCAACAAATGGTGGTATCCCTGTGCTCCCCTTTCTTATCTCTTTCTCTGTTAAAAGGCAGTTCGTAGTGGTGCTTGACCACAGTTTCCAGGGCACTGTTTTTGCCCCCTCCTCTCTGACAAACTTAGTTCTAAGTCACCGTGACTCCCTGCGTATCAGACCAACAGCTCTCAGGGCAACAAACACCATTTTTTAAATTAATTACATCACCCATGCTGAACCTTAACTGTCATTTGTACATCTTGTTAAGTGCCATGGTTAATATTATTTTTTAAAATTATTACAGAGTTAATTGTTAGCCAAATTTCTCTAAGTATAGAATAATTTTAATTAAGTAATGGCCATGATGATTGTCCAAGTTTATCACTTAGCTGCATTTTTCCACATCTGAGAATTTTCACTTGATGTCACAGCTGTCATTTAAAATAGTTTGATACTTCACTGTATTCTGAACTGGGCAAGGCTGACTCTATTCTAAAATGTGGAGATGAAACAGCAAAAGCTTTTGTGCCATCTGACCTTTTGCCTAAACTTCCTACAGTGGCTTGTCTCCCTAGGGTGGTGTGGTTTGGTTTTTTTTTTTTTTTTTTTTTTTTTTTTTTTTTTTTTTTTTTTTTTTTT